GTCGGTTTCAGTTCCCACCTTAGCTAACCCGACCAGGTCGGGTCGGTTGGGAAAATCCCAAGAAACCGACCCAACCCGACCCGTGAACACCCCTAGAAGTAATCCTCTTCAACTGAAGCTTAACTTTGATGGCTGCAGCTTGGACAACCCAGACAACACAGGTATTGGAGCAGTCAATGGAAACAGTCAAGGGGCTATTATTAGTTCTCGTTTCAGGCACTGTTACTGTAGGAGATTCCAGAGGAACTGAAAATTTTGCTTTTCTACAAGGACTTAGGTTGGGTTAAAGGGTAAACATGAAGAATACAATGGTAGAAAGAGACTCAAAGGGTGGTAGGCTGGCATAAAAATGACAAAGAACATGGCAACATGGGCATGCAGTGAGGCAGATTAAATCCTACATGGGCATGGCTGATTCACTAGCGAGGCAGGGGATTAATAAGGAACAGCTATTTGGGGGTAGTCAATCTTTGTACCAAAAGAAATGTGGGGTTAAATAGCATTTTGATATGGCCTAGCAAGAATACTAAAGTTCCCTGTACAGAACAGTCTTTTTGTCACTCAGTAAGATTTCAAAGTTTCCAATAAAAGAAGTAATGTAATCCTCATGGACACACAAGCTCTTTGAAGAATCTTAGTAATTGAGAAAACTCCCCTGTTGCTCAAAAACCAAAATTCATAACTGAATTACAATCCATGAACCATCTTATTTTTGTTGTTATTGTTTTGTGAGAATGTAAAATTTTCATCCCATCTTTATTCTATTTTGTAGAATTTAGGGATGCAAACGGATTGTATTATTCGAATCCGACCCGACATTGTTAATGTCGGATCTGATAGGACTCGATTTGAATTAGAATTCTATTGGTAAGTTGGATCTTCGGATCTGACGATTCAACTTGTTTTCTTTAAAAATTAATAAAATATAAAAAGAAAAAATAAAATATACTAATTTAAATAAAGTAAAAACAAAAATACAAGTATTTTTTAATTATTTTCATCATATATATACATGTTTTTTATAAAAAATAATATAACAAATTTATAAAAATATAATGCAAAAAATATATTTATAAATAAATAAATAACATATATATATATATATGCATTATATATTTATAAGTATATAATATATATCGGATCAGATCTTCTCGGGTTGGATTGGATTGGGGGGGGGGTTGATCCGAATCCGATCTGAACAGGGGTGATCCGAATTCGACCAAATAGAATTGGATCTCGGATTGGATCATGATCCAATCCATTTGCACCCCTAGTAGAATTCACGCCCTTCAAAATGTTAAGCAGAAATGCCCAAGATTTTCATGCTCTGATCATGGCTTTATTTGTGGGGAAGAAATCAGAAACTGCTTTTGGAAGGGTACATACTCCTTGGGCTGACATGTGTGGCAACATGGGTTGAGTCCGAGAGTGGCCTCTTTGTAGTTTGTGGCTTTGTGTTAAAAGAAATGCCAAAGATTTACGGGGCGTTTGGCAAATCTTTGTAAGTGGTCTTTCAAGCTTTTTAAAGCTTAGAAGACCTGATTTTGAGCTTTTTCGTTTGGTAACCAAAAGACAGGAAGCCGAAAAGATTGAGAAAGCTCAGATTTGTCTTAAATCTGAAAGCTTCAGGTCTTTTGAGCATATGGATCTTTTTGTTTGAGAAAGGGCATTCAAAAAATCCTTTCAGATCCAAACCTCTACTCGTACCAGGTATGTAGTCCTGGTACCTCGGCTAGGCTAAATGAATCTGCACCAGGTATGTAGTCCTCCTTCCTCTTCTTCCTTTTTTTCCCCTTAAGTTTTTTCTTTCTTCTTTGATCCAAACTTCTACTTGTACCTCGGTTCCTTTCAGATCTGACCCTCCCCTCTCTCTCACTTTCTCTGTCTGAAGCTGGGAAATCCGATTTAAAACCAGGTATGATCTCCATCATTTGATAGCGATGTGATCTCCTGATTTGCTTGTGGAACAATTTTTAGTTTGCTTCTTATTTTTAGTTGAATTTTGTCAAAATGAATGTTTGCAGAATGCAGAAGAGGGCAATTTGTAGAACAATTTCATCAAAATGATCTCCAGATTAACAGGTTAGTTAATAACTAGAATGATGGAATGAATCTTCATATTGAAATTCCTTTTTAAACTTGTTTCCACTGTCCAAAACCAGGTTCCTATTTAAACTTCAAGCGTTAAAATTTTGGTGAAACTTGTTTCTGCCACATCAGACTAGTTCACAGAACATAGTTCCAGCTTTAAAATCTGGTGTAGCCACATCCCTTCAAGAATTTTCTTCTTTGTTTGGGAAGCTTGTCCCTAGAAAGTTAATACTTGTGATCTCCTACAGAAAAAACTTTTGGGAAGACGCTGCTCCATATCTCCTCATGTTTGGATTTTATGCCTCAGCAAGGGTGAATCTGCAGATCACATCCTTCTTCACTGCAGTTTCACCCAAAGGATATGGTCCCACTTCTTGAAAATGGTAGGTTATAGCTGGGCTTTTCCAAAACACATTATGGACACATTGAACCAGTGGCAAGGAACAGGGCTAAGCAAAAGGGATTAAGTCTTTTGGCAATCAATGCTACATGCAGTGTTGTAGGGTGTTTGAGATGAAAGAAACAATTGCCTCTTTGACAATAAAAGCAGAACCTTGGAGGATTAATCTCAGATATTACCTACCTTTGCATCCTTTGGACGGTGAATTCAGTTCTGTTCAAAGGACTTTCAGTCAATGATCTTTTCAGAGATGTTCACCCCTTTCTTTTTCTCCCTCATCCCCAACAAACATCCTTGAGGCATCCCGTACCCATCAGTGAAGGAGTGATAACACTTAACTTTGATGGTTGTGCCTTAGATAATCCTGGTCTTGCTGGTATTGAGGTACAGTAAGGGAAGAAAGGGGCAATATATGCTGGACTTTTAGTGGTCCAATCGGCTGGGCTGACTCCACAAAGGCTGAAGTGATGGCTGCTCTCACCAGAATCAGGATAATAAAAAATTTGGGAATTCAGAATTTGATCATTGCAGGTGATTCAGCAAATACGATATAATGGTTAAGAGACAAAGAGGGGGGGGGGGCTTGGAGACTGAATCATATCTGACTGAAGCTTGGGATTCTTTGGATTGTTTGAATGTTAATTTAGTTTGGATTCCTAGGGAACACAATCATACTGCAGATGGCCTAGCTAAATTTGGTGTGAACACAATCTCCCCTTGTTCCCCCTCTTTTTCTTAGTAAATTCTGGTTAAATTTTCTCAAAAAAAAAATATTGGACCCAGTGTATGTCATTTTGAACGATGTATCAAATGTTTTTCTATTCTACCGAGTATGTAAAATTTTCTTGGAGTTAAAAAACTTCTGAACTGGTATCCATAATAAGAGTTTACATAGCCTATTCTGAAATGAGTCCATGAAGTTGGAGCAATGGATAAACACTTTTACCTGTTATCTCACGGGATTGATTTGAATATTGTTAAAATTTTGGTGGTTTGAAATTTTCAGGAATTTTTGGTTTCCATTAAAGGCTTAAAACTGTTTCTATTTATCTATTTACCTATCACTCTTGGTTAATAGTCAATTCCATGTCTTAATTTTTGAGTCCGTAATGAAACTAATACTTTGTCTAAGAGATTGTAACCATATCTAGGCTTAATACTCATCACCCTTTAAAGCTGGTAAACCTATGGATGTGATAAATTAGAGGCTTCCTATGCAGACAAACTAGAAGAGAGATAATGAAAGTGATGAATCCTTTATATGCTTTTCTCTTACAATTTATAATTGGTGCCTTGTGCATTTCAAAAACTTCAAAACTTGCAGCCTTAACTGTGATTAAACCATGCAAGTTTAAACAAAAGTAAAAATATCAGCGACTATAAATATACAATTAGAAGAAAACTGAAGGAGAAGGAAAGAAATGTTCTTGAATCAAATCTGAATTTTCTCCCATTTTGCTCTGTTATATAGTTTGGGTCTTGCTTTGTTTGCATTTAAGAAGTAGTACTATTAATTGCTTTTCAAATCTGAAATTTCTCATGCAATTCCATCATGAATTTGCTATAAGTTCAAATTTTCAAACCTGAAACCTACCATTTTTGCTCTGTAGAATGACTTATAATTTTTGCTTTGTAGAATGGTGTGAATCTTGCTTTGTTTGCATATGATAGATATATTCTATTGTTTAATTGAGCAATCAAATCTGAAATTTCTCGTGACTCCATCATGAATTTGCTACTATGAGTTAAATTTTCCAGATCTGAAATCTATCATTTTGCTTTGTAGCATGGCCTGAACCTTTGTTTGCATATGATATACTACTATTTATGATTGTCCTATGATATTATTGCTTTGTAAAACTATGGTAGTGCAAATGATTTGGGCGCAAAGTCTGAATAATAATTGTTTAATTCAAATTTTACCTTGTTTCATTTGACTGCAATACAAATGAAGTAAAATAAGACCTAAAGCAATCTGTTATTAGTCATCACTCTTCCATTTCTGCACTCAATAGCTGCAGCGTGAGGAAACCAAACCAAAACATTCAACATTCTTAGTGGCTGCAACATGATTGTGGGACCTCTTGCGCAGTGTTGATTCAATCTAATGATCGTGTTCCAGATTTGGCACTCTTGGCTATCGGCGCTTATGAATTGGTTCCAATTCAATAACCATTTTATTCAATTTTAGTGTTTTTTTCTCAACTTCGGAAAATTTTATGAGTTTATACATTAGGGACAATAATAGGTGGGGGAATCTATCACAATTCAAGGGGGTATTATAGTACAGATGGGGTTTGGGACAATACATTCAAAAAATCAATATTTTTTTGGTGGGGGCGGGGAGCAAACCATAAATTTTTCTTTTTTTTGTAATTACATGAATTGGATTGTTTGTAACGAAGTATTTCTCAAAAGAAGAATTCATATTAAACTAATTTCATGTATTGAAATAATCATTTGTATTTATGTGATGAATAATTATATGGGGCCCATAGGTGATGATCACATATGTCAATGTGTAAAACTGTAGATAGGAGCTACATTGATATGTTGTATAGGAAAATGTACGAGTGCAGCCCACTTTAATATTTTGTATAGTTAAATGTGTTAATTGATTTGAAATCCTTAGAAATTAGAAGGCAGTGTTTTTTTTTCCCTTTTTTGAGATACCTTTATTTAGAGATTTGAAATCCCTTATTGGGAATTTAGAAATCAGTGAAACTCAGTTTTCATTTGTGCACCTTTATCACGATCAAGGTGTTAATAAATACTTCCGTTTGTGGCTTCAGAAAGGCTCTTATTTAGAAGATGCGCACCCCTTCATTTTTACCAGGTTTTTGGCATCTTGATTACCTTGTGTTTTATCATCTATCTTGGCTATCGATTAGGGCTGCAAGTCGGGTTGGGTTAGGTCGGGTTGAGGCCAATCCTAATCCAACCCTAACCCTAATCCAACCTGACCTTTAACCCGATCAACCCAACCCTAATCCTAACTAAATTCCTTCAACCTTAACCCAACCCAAAGTCAATTTCGGGTTGGGTTGGGCCCAACTCAACTTTCTTCCCATCCTTAAAAACCTTAGAATTTCTTGATTTTAGATCTTAACTCAACTTTTATTACATATATTTTAATCCTATGTTTCATTAGTATTTGTTTGTTGATGTTATTTTTTTGTTCTTATAGTACAAAATTCAAAACAAACTAGTGTTAGAAATGATAATAGTTTATTATGAGTTATGACTTATGATAGGTTCTTGGGTGGCAAACAACATAAAGGAGATGAAGAATAAAATTTTTAAAAAACATAAAATAATGTTATTAAGGTTTTAGTCTTTCTAATTAGGATTAAGTGAAATGATTATCTTAAAAGAAAGGGTAAAATACAAAAACCTCCCCTAAAGGTTTTGACAATCATAAAAACCTCTCCTAAAGTTTTTGACAATCATAAAAACCTCCCCTTTAGTTTCTCTTTAACAAAATCCTCCCCTAAATTTTTAAAGAATTCAACGAAAACCTCCCTTTTGTCACAATGATTTTTATGCATTTGATGGTGAAAAAATTTCCTTATTTTTTTCTTGCTTTGGAGAAATTTCTATTTTCCTGGGGAATTATGATGCTGCCTATCCATGGTGCTTGGACTTTCCATTTCCTTAGGCCCGTTTGGCATCAATTCTAAGGATTTTCACTCAGAATTCTTTCAAAAAAGGATGGATTTTGAGAATTTTCATCATGGGAATCAGTAGTCCTGTTTAGCACAGTTGTCAAATTCTTGTTTCTCAAAAATAAAATCACGTTAGGCAGCAACCAATTTCTTTGAATCAATTCTTTGATCTTTGATAGACAAAACCATGCCAATACTAATAATTATAAGTTCAAATGGAGTTACACTGCACTCTATTCGTTTACATCATTGTCAAATACATATAAAAAAGGAGAGAGGTTCACATGTTAACACATTTCATTTTAAAATTAGAATGACACATGATTAATAAAAAAAATGCCCAACAAGGTGTGATCATGCAACACCCACATGATTGCAAAAATCTGATCCCTCCTGGTTTTGTTGCACTTATCATGAATGATGACTTCTTCTTGTGTTTAATGAATTTGAAAACATAATGATGGTAATTTTTAATAGTGATTGATAAAGGAAAATTGTCAGACAATCACCTAGTATGTGGATGACATGTAGAATTGATGGCATCCCAATCATATAAAGAGTCTATATTTACCTTCTTCTAGTCATTGAATCTTCTAGGAAGTTATTGATCAAAAAAATCTTTGAAGAAGTTTGAAATCTAACCTCAAATACAAGCTCCTTTATTTTACTGGTAAAAGCAGAACATTATTATGTAAAAAACATGGAAATGGTGTACAAGATGAATGTGCCTGACACCCCTCCAGATTTAGGCTAGCGCAAACTACCCAACCCCATTGTATAATTTTACAAAAGGTGGTGACCCCCAATACAGGATTAATGCTACGATTAACATGGATTCTAACAAGACCCAGCAAGCTCTTCATCGACAATGATGAAGAATGAGAATTGTTCAGACTACCTAACCCCATTTAAAGAGACGACTGTAATATGAGGAGGGAGACAAATCTGTGTCCTCTGTTATGGATAATATGCCCAGATTTTATGCTGCCGTCTAGTGGTTCAATATCAGAAAACTCATTGTTAACAGATCAAACAGAGCTCGTTGAAGAGGGAAAACGAAGAAGAGGGAGTGTTCGAGCAGATTTCACAAAGAATATTTGTGAGGAAAACAAAGAAGACACCCTTACCTTTCAAACGGAGCTCGTTGCAGAGGGAAACTTTGAGAAGTTCAAATCTACTATCATTTCACAGAGACTGTTTTGGAAAGGAACAAACGAAGAGAAGAAACCTGGTTGAGAAGTACACAAATGTAAGTACTTGTGAGGCCAGATCTCTGGGTAGAAGAAAGACGTTGGAGGCCAGATTTCTAACGCTTTTAGGACTTTGTTCAATGAAATTCATGTATTTGGGGTAAAATGTGCACGTGTTCGTTGTTTCATTAAGGACATAGTGAGAATTGGAGATTGCAAGAATTAGGAATCTCAGAAGTGAAAAAATTTCACTTTGGAGAATCCCGTATTCGGAGCGAATTTCTCATCCAAAAACGAATGAGATTCTGGGGAGCAAATTTCACACTTCTGGAGATTCTAATCTAAAGAATCCCAGAATCAATTTGGGGAGTGATGCCAAACGGGGCCTTATTGTATCACCAATTTCTAGTGAGAGCCAACTAATTTGGGTTCAACTTCATTGAAGAAGCTACTTAAAAGAGGCTTCGAGTGAGAGCCAACTAAACGATTGCATGATCAAATTTGGTTCACAGAGTTTCTAATTAGGGCCCACCTCACAAAAGATTCATAGTGTAAAAGCCCCGAATTTGGACCGGATTTAGTAAGCACATCAAAGTAAACATGTTAAATGAGCATTTGATAAATATTTTGATAACTGTCAAACGTGGGTATTAATCTTTTTTAAAGGTGGGGGAGGATATTTTAAGGGACAAGCGTCAAAAAAAATTTTCAAGTGCTCATTGAATGTACTTATAACTTCGTGTCTACTTCATCCAAATCGGACAAATTTGATTCTCTAAATTTTCAAGTGAACCTATTTGAGAGGACTTCAGCTTTCATTAAACTGCTTTCACTTGACCACTTTGAAGAAGCTACTAAAACAAGCTTCAATGGAAAGCTATTTTCTTGGCTGAATGAAAGCATATTAGTGCTTTTCGGATTTCTAACAAACATAACTTCTAGGCTGTCTGTGCGATACCTACCTCACAAAGCCAGAAGCTACTGTATGAATACCCTCCCAAAAAGGCACTTTATAAGTTTATGTACTAGTTGAGCAAAGATCAGGAGTGAGAGTATATTGGAGAGGAAAACAAATGGAGCAAAATAATGGTGGTCTGAACATGAAACTTAAGCAAATATGGAATTAAATGATAATGCACACGTAATAGATAAGAGGCCGTGTTTGGTTCGATAGGAAATAAGAAAGAAACTGAAAGTTAATGCAGTGCAAATTTATTTGCACTAGTACAATTGTATAGGAGTGTAAATGCAAAAAAATGCAAATTCTTGTTTAATTTTGTTTTGGATTTTACTTTATTTTTCTTTATGTCTTAATTTACTTTATGTACTGTAATAATTTTGCATCAGTGCAAATTTATTTATATTGCAACCAAACACAATCTAAACTATTTCACAAAAATTGTTAAGAAATTTCCCTCCACTTTATGTCTATCCAACCAAACATAACCTAAATAAACCAAGTAGCAATTGTCTCCTAACAGAGGGAAAAAAATACACACACAGTGGTCGAAACATAAATTCAAGGCAAATTATATAGTAATAAAGACACCAAAGTTGCATTATATAAAGGAGAAACCATTCAACGAGAGCTTGACTTGGAAGCCAGAAGCTTGGTTAAATTGCACTAGGCAGTAGGCACCATTGCATTGATCTTAAATGTCTCTCTACCTTTGAATATATTAATTAGCACCTCCGAATCAAAGTTTAGGTTGAAGCAATGCCATTAACATTACATATATATTATAATACTAAAAAAAAAAGAGGATTAACCAAGTCCTAATCAAGAAAATGAGGATGACTTCCTATGTTCTATCCACCAAGTACTCTCCTCCTAACCGGTCCACTAACCAAGTTTTTTTGCCTGAAAGCGACGTCTTAGGCGTTCATGGGTGGTCAATGCTACGAGTTCACATCTGTGCCCCACAATGCCCCATAACACATCCCGATCTTATATTGAAAACATCTCTCAATATCTTATCATCTTCCATACTTGTTATTGGAAGATATTCCTAATATAAGATTGGGATATGAACTCCAATGCTACTAGACCACAATCAAGGAACGGGATCTGCTCCTCACACAGGGGCGCCTCACAGACACATCCACCATGGATTGGAAACATTTCCCGTATATAATAACTTATAAATACGGAAGATATTCCCAATACATAATAGGATGTGCGTGTGAGAAACCCTGTGTAAAGAACAGATCCGGTCTCCACAATCAGTTGGGAGGACTTACGGAGTCCACCAAAACAAAATGGTCAATTACTGGGGCCTCCGGCGTTGGACCAGGTGGCTTATTCAGCTGTGTTGACATATGACAAATTAATTTAGTGGAGCACCAATTAACTGTTGTTGTTGGAAGGCTCCATCTCCAATCTCAAGTCTCATCCTCCAGTCAACCCAACAGTCATCACTCTTGATTAGTCTAAACAGATTCTATATATATAAGCTCTCAATTCAATAGCTTTTTTGGTAGATGGTAGATGAGGTATTATTTATTGCTCACAGTAATCACTAGTAACCCATCAAGCTATGATGGCACGACGAATACTAGTCCACACTTTTTTACAAGCACCAAGAGTGGAAGGTGGAGGTTGGTTTGGTTCAGAGTCAGCGTAGCACAAAAAAGGTCTTTTACCTTCAGTTTAGATTTTACAACTTTCAAGCTTCATAAAATATCATCACACGAGTTAGAAATATAGGGTCATATCTTAGAAATGTCTGAATTCCAAGTCTGATGATTTTGAAATATTATTGAAATTGGAATTTTGAGCCAAGGTCAAGGTTCAAAGTACTGCTTTTTTGCCTATTGCCTGATTCGAAGGATCAATACTCTCCAAGTCTTAGTAGCCTATTCTAAAAATTGATACTTCCTAATAACCTTACAGCCCGTTTGGTTCATGGGAATATAGGTTTGGAATTGGAGTTATTCTGATTTCAATCGTTTGGTTGGGTGGAATTAGAATTCTATTCCCATTCCTGATGGACTGACATCGCATTCTCTCATTTGAGGGACAGACCATTCCCTTTCCCCTCTCTTGGGAATGAGGTCTTATTCCAGTTGATTCTAATTCCAACTCGGATTCTTGTATAAACTAACAAACTATAGGAAGAAATCATTCTGATTTCAACTGTGAACCAAATGGACCCCTAAAACTCCGACATTTATATACTCCCTAGTCCCTAATTACTAGTATTTCATGTATCGGTTATGCAAAAAATTAATACTTATTGTATGATATGTATTAATACTTCGATTCTTGGCCGATACTCATTTTGTTTGCCGTATAAATCCAAAGCAATTTGCATTTAGTTTAAATTTTCATGTGTTCGTTTATGACTATGGTTTAGTTCTTCCATGGCTCAGTTTGGGAAGAGTACAAACACATACACAAATATACTCAGCGTAAAACTTCTTATATATGGTATTTTTAATTCTTGTATTTGCACTCTTCCCAAACTGAGAAAAGATGACAATCTTCATTCTGCTTTCACTCTCTCATTTAAGGTGGAGAACCCTGTCATTTTTTTCCCAATTTTACTATATCAAACAAGCAAAACAAAGTAAGACCTGCAACAATAATAAACCAGAAATATAATTCTGATCCTATACATTTGTGCCAGTGCAAATGAAATTTGTACTGCAGCAAACAAATAGAGCCTTGATGGTTTAACCCATAACCTTTTTGTTTTTACATTGGGAAAACCAAAAGCTAGTTAAAAAATCGTTTGAAAAAAAAGCCAACGGCCTTCATTTAGTTTTTCACGTTTGAAAAAAAAGCCATTTTAATTGAATGTTACAAGCCAAATACTAAAAAAAAAGTTTTTGTTTTTTTTTTTTTTTTCAAAATGTCTGTTTCAAATAATAGCTGAAGCCCGTTTAGGCCGAGAAACACTGTCTAGAGACTCCCGAGTCCCAAGCTCAAAGCTCGAAGAATGAGCATGGCGATTGGTGAAAAATAAATACAACATCACATGAAAACCGGATAAAGGGGCTTAAAAGATAAATGAAAGAAAATGTTTCAAGTATTAGCTCACTAACAATATAAGATTAAAGAAGACAGGGTCGGTACACACACACACGTAAAGATAAAAGACATTTTTGAAGCCTTCTAAATTGAAAAAAAAAAAGAAAAAAAGAAAAGCACCCCTTGAACCTTTTTCATCAGATTTTCAGCAGAAATACCTAACACTTCTAATTGGGAATGGAGTGGCAGACACTAGTCTAATCTGGACTAGGCCCGCCCCACCCACCAATCCACCATCCCACCATCCCACCATCCCATTAGACTTTGGTTAATTAATTCGAGTGAGAAGTTTTGTTGCGACTTGTGAGCATCCAACATGTCTTGTTATACAATTCGATAGTACTTGTGAAGACACAGGACAGAGGCTGAAGTAACTAGCTAGAAGTTAGCTAGGCAAGTTTTCATATATAGGACTCAATAACCAAAGAATAGAAACTTCAATGGACACAAACAGAAAAGAGGGTTCTCGTTCTTCTCTTGATTTTTAGCAGATACTACATTATTTGAATTTTTGAATCAACAATAAAAGCCCAATTAGGCCATTGCATTTCAAAACCAATGGAAGAGAAGTGATCAAAATGAATATAAAGAAGAATGATGATCCCAAGAAAAAAAAAAAAAACTATGACTGCAATAAGATGTATGGAATGATTTTCTTCTATTGTTTCATCATACTGCATGTTTGATGGGAAGATGCTTGTGTGCCTGAGACTGGTCTTTCAAAAAGAACCATGCCATCCTCCCTGCTCAAGGCTTCCTCGCAGAAAGCTATGCTGGTCTTCCTCAGCTTTTAGAGCACAGGGGATAGCTTTAGGAGCCTCAGGGCTCAGGATCCCTATCGTTGAGTGCAAAACTCATCTGCTACCATAATCTGCCGACTGGGCTAAAAACATTTCTTTACATGAGCCCCTGCAGAATGGGTGTCGCATACTTTACAGCACTAATCATCTCCTTCAAGGAAGAAAAAGAGTTCTATCTTTGCACAGCAGATCTTTGTTTTTTTAAATACAACATTTTCTGGTCTCTGATCTGCAACTCTGACTTTTGACAGACACACCCAGGAAAAGGATTTGCGTAGAAGTTCTCCTCAAGTCTGGGGGTCTCCCCCACCTGTCTTGGATATGGTGCTCCAATCCTATTAGAATGCAACCTCTTCACCTCTGAGGAGAACTCTTCCCAAGACATCATACCCATGTCCATTTGATCAATCAGTCTCACAAAATTTTGTCTGAAAGAATGAAATTGATAGAAAACATCAGCCCATCGATCAGGGCTTCATACTTTTAGTGTCTTTTGAAGAAGAGAAGAAAAAAAAATAGTTTTCGTTTTCTGCATCAGACTATTGCGTTAGGTTAGATAGATACCTGTCAGGGTTGATAGTCTTCCGAAATCCTTCAAACCTCCTATGGCCCTGCACTGCCTTGGCCATATTCCCATCATAGGTGTAAACAAAGACATCACTCTCGAGTGCCACAATGTAGTCCAACGCAGCCAGGCGATTCTGAAACTGCTTGAATGGCTCCAGCTCCTCGTCTGTTGCTAGAGTTGTGTGGGAGAAAACATTTGGGAACTCGGAACGGAGTGCAGAAATGCTGTTGCTACCGAAGATCTCCCCTGCAACTATATAGATTTTTGTGGTAGAAGGATAACCCAAGGCCTTGAGGAATAAAGCGGCCTCCCTTGGGGACATGGGGCATCCCCCCTGGAGCCTCCGCTCTTTGCTATTGATCTCCTTTTCCTTCCAATGCTTGACTCTGTGCCTCATAATCCGTAGCTCCTCAGCTTCACTCTCAGTCAGGTTGTGACTGCACCCTGTGAATGCAAGCATGTCTTTTTCATATCTGCAATTAAGTTAACATTAGCTTTGTTAATGGGGATAATTATCTAACAGAGATGATATCCATGGATGGATAGATACCTTAAATGGAGCGCAATATATGGGTTGCTTTCATTCCTAAGCCTCTCCACCAATTTCTTCCCAAGATCCTCAATCTCACTTGCGTACCGGAGTGCCCTGTAATTTGCTCTGCATCGAAGCCTCTGGATTGAACTCGAGAGGCCATTGTTGGCAAGTCTAGAATCAGTGTGTGTGAACTTCATCACTTTGTGCCGCTTCAGCAATGCCACCATATCTCCTCTGTAGTAACCAGGCTGCAGAATTTCAAACAAGCAGTTGTTGCAACGGAGAAAATTGGGAATTGAACATTCTCTTTATAATATTAAAGTGTTTTGACTATTAACCTTAGACCAGGAAACTGGGGCCTTCAGAAGAGGCTTAATAGCTGCATAACGAGGTGGCAGAGATTCTATTATCTGAACGTCATCTTTCAGGACTTCCATGAAGTGCCTCCAATTGAAAATATCTTTGAAACCACTGAGAAGACCAGTAGGAAGAAGTCCTATAAATTCTAGTTTTTTCCGTTCTATGAAAACCAAATTGAAACCCATAATTTCTACCTTGGATCTGTCCAAAAGGAGTCGTGGTCCAGTGAAGGAAGAACCAAAGTGGCATTCATGAGGTTTGCGACTGCGACCATATCGCATATCTGCATTTGGTTGAGACAGAGGAAGGTAAGATGATCTGTGAACAGGAAATGGAACCAGCAAGAATTACAAAGAGAGAAATAAAATATAATTTATCATAAAATCTGTAAAATGAGAATACTTACTCCTGTCCTCATCTGATTCAGACCACCATTGGCGTGAACTAAGATATAGCCATTCGTATGGGGTGAACTCCCTAAATAAAGATTTGCAGAAATGAGATAAGAAACAACTATAGATAGCAGAGCTCGACAATACAGAAGCTTGAGGAACATTAAGAAACGTACTTATTTGATTCTTTGATCGATTAATGCACTGATAATAATTATCACTGTTTGGTTTCATCCAAACTTCAGGAATCTGTACAACAAGAATCCCGGATAAAAATTACAAAAATGTCTTTCAGCACTGCAATCGAAGTTAATGAATAACCAATGCCCCAATTTTATTAGGACCTTACAGGACTTTAAGGAATCCATTAAAGAAAAACCATCCCAGTAAAATTTCAGAGATGTAAAACAGAAACCCAATCATGGAAAAAAAAAAAAAACAGGGAACTACGGGGAGACAAATTTAATCCTATTTCAATAGGCTAAGAACTGTCCGTCCAAACACAGACATAAGGAAAACAGACCAAAGTCAGAAGTTGAGACAGTTAACCAATATAAGATATTGTTGTTCTGAGCTGAGCGTAGTACTTAAGGAAAACAGACATAAGCAGATGGGTGTAACACACAGAAGGGAATAAAAAGAAGATTTATACGGTTGTATATTGTCAAACTTAATCAGATAAACGTAACTGCTTTGCTGGAATTGTTGTCAAATCCCAGAATCAATGTATATTTTACAAATATATAAAAGAGGAAAAACAGAGAAAGAATTCCAAAAGAGAATTGGATCGCAAGTTCTTGATGGTTATAATCACCATTGGAAAACGAGTATAAAGATTAAATCAGGGTGCATTTTAGAAGAAAAAAAGACTCAGAAATCGAAGAAAATCTTAAAAAGTAATGAAAACTTTCAGAATCTACAACCAAAAACAAAGCAAAACAGGTCCCAATACCCCTGAAAAATCCCAATACACCCTTTTTAGCGCCAAGAACAAAAATTCAGTTGCCTGGGAAAAAGAGCAGAACTTGAAATCTTATCTTACCGGATATTGATTCAACGCACGTTTTGAGACACCAGAGTCGCCGGTCTCAATCTCGGCGACGGCCTTCTGGGCCATTGTCCAGTCCTCCTTAACTGTCTGAAGAATCAAAAGCTCATTCTCTGTTCTCTTACTATTCATCTCCATGTGGCTACTCATCAACGAGAACTTCAGAAAAACCGAAAATACCGCCAAACACATCAGCATGAGCAAAACACGACGACCCAAGTTCTTCCCTGATTTGAAATATTGCGCCATCGAAACCATCCATAGAGCCACACTCCCCATGGTAAGCAGCAAAGGTTCCGGCAGAAAAAACAATCCCTGACGAACCAACAAATACCGGATCACAGGGTGGTGGTGGGGGTGGGAGTGGTCGTGGCACCCACCGTTACCAGAATTGGTATTGTCTTCTCCGTCTGGAAATTCCGAAATGTTGGATTTTTCTGCGTCCATGAAATCAGCCACTCTACGTCTCGTCATGGGTCCGTAGATAGTCGGACTTCCATTGCTGGGGTTTCCTCCACCGGTCTCCATGGACCCAAAAGACCGGTAACAACGGGGACAGTGAAGAACAAAATGATAATAACCAGAACAGAGAGAATTGAAGCTTGTAAAATAGCGGTAATGGCGTCTTGAGAACCGTCGTTTCTATTTCTTTTTTCTTTGATTTTTTTTTTGTTCGCTTTGTGAATTTCTAAATACAGGTTCCGAAATCCATGGCCACGAGAGAGGTTTCTTTGCCGTTGCGTGCGAATGATCTCGTTCCCCAGGTGAAAGAGAAGGTATTGATAAAACAAAACAAACAGCACGAAAGAAACGAAACAAAGATTTCTGTTTCTCAAGAAAAACTCCCTCCCTCTCTTCTTATTTATATATTCGCACAGTGGCCTTTGAGTTTTGCATCTTTACCAAAAATATATTTCATTTGACCAAATTGCCCTTAAGACAATAAGACTATCCGTTTTTTAATTTCAAACTTTTTTGGATGTCTTACTGAAAATAGTTTAATTAGGTGCCGTAAACCTTAATTTAAAGAAGAGAACTCATAGTTAGCGTAATTCTCTAATTACTTGAATTTTACTAATACACAACTAAATTGCGTCTGGCACGTTTATTGACTAAATTGTCCTTTTCACAGATGCATTGACGAAAATACCTATACAAATTGGTTTGCCACTCGAGTTTTTGTAGGTTTCGTTTGTCTTTTACAAAGTTGACTAAAATATTTTTTTTCTAGCTATTATTTCTGTGTTTTTCTTTCAAACAAAATAACAGGATGCACGTGAGGCCCACTGGCCATTCCACTCAAGGTCGAACCCCTTGGCATTTTCCATCAAACAGGGATTATGAATCCTTGATATCATGATAAGGAAGTACGTAAAGGGTTGCATCAGCAGGTACGGCCCACCATGGAAGTGGGCCCACAATATAAGTACATCACAGCCGCTTGATGATGACTATAGTATTATTGATCGATGGGTCAGCGTGATAGAGTAAAGTTACTGCCTTAAGCAATAACGGTGACATGACTAAAATGAATATGGACATTATTATAATTTATAAGCTGTCACCCTCCAACGGTCCAAAAGAAAGACAGAAAGGAGAAAAGAAAAACTGAAAAACCCTTTTTCTTGGTTCATTTGCTTTCTTTCCACACAACTTGCGAATAAATGCATTGATAGCCCCCTCCTTGCTACTTAAATGTTGGAGATCTTTTTGAGTTTTGAGATCTTCTGACCACCTTTTCCTTCGGAAACAAAATTGGAAATTATACAATTCTCGGGGGCTTTTCGGTGAACTTCAACCTACTTTTAAAACACGTTTGTCTTTTTCCGGTCCGACGACTCTGACATCATCAGGTTTGTGTCTTGCGTCGATATTCTCCCTTCTCTCTATCTAAAGTGTCGTGGGACACGTGTCCTAGTCTGCGGCAGGTATGTCGACAACATTACTGTAATTGGCAATTATGATGTGTTTGAATGCTATACGGCGACCGGAGGATGCTGGGCCAATCATGATACTTCAAATTATTCTGAAAGCACGTCCCACGTGTACGTACGTGACGTGGTATATCGTAATTGGCCATATTAGAGATTTTACTGATCTTCACCTCGTCAAAATTCATACCCAAAAACCTCGTCGAAACTCTCGATACCGTGCCCACACAGAATTGGCGCGGCCAAATCATAATTTACCACGTAGTACGAATAGCACTGTAGAATAGGGAAATCGCTACCTTACAACTACTGCAACATGTAAGAAACTAGGCAAGACTCCGCAAGAGTGGCATTAGGACCGCTAGATTATTACGGGCCCTATTGTCACTTGTCAGTTGGGTCTATATGATATCAGACCAACTCCTTATCAACAGTATTAACAGGTTGTTTGTTTGTTCAAGAACTCCCATTCGAATTCCTGCATTTTGGTGGGTGTTTGCCGGAGAGTTTGACAAGCGTTCTGTTACAAGTGGACCCGATTTTTAAGTGTTTTATTTGTATTTTTATTTAATACAGAAAAAATTCGGATACAGAATGATTGAGCATTTAAAGTGATTTGACTTAATATTATAATATTTATAAAGTCAATTATGTGACATCTCAAAAGAGATAATCGTTTTTTCGTAAGTTAAATATTTGGGTAAATGTAGTTATCTGTATAAGTTTTTTCTGAAAAATACTTATCCGGACAAGTGCATTTACCTATGTTATTTAATTTCTCATGTAAATGTGATAATGACCATTTTAATCATAAAAATTAATTATTAAAAGGGGCATTTTTATCCCATTCAAGTGTTGACAATTTCCCCCTATCACTTGCCCGTGTAAGTGATCCCCCCATATAAATTTGAAAAAGGAACATGAGATTTTTGATAAGTGAGAACCAAAATCCCATTGACCAACTTTCCCCCCTCTCAAAATCCAAAAAAAGAACAATCCCTCAGATTTTTTTCAAATTTTAATATGCAATGTTACTAAGCGATTCAAGATCACCTAGGTGATTTAAAAAATTTCTACTTTCTCAAACTCTAAATCTAATTATTATAAAAATATTTTTCTTTTTTAAAAAATAAGATTGCCAAATGTGATTTTCTTGTCCATTCCGTTTAAATGCTAATGCAACGTACTTGACACATCCGCAGAAATGGAACGTTCGTGAAATAATCCGGTGCCAAATACATGTTCTTTTTTGTTTTGCTTTATATTTGAGTTCGTATACAGGGCAGAGATTTATGAAATAAATATATTTGGCTCAAACGGCTAATTTTTATTGTTAGGTTAGAATCTGCCTATGTTTCTACTTGGTTGGACGGCGGGGATGAATTCATTAGATTCAATTGTAGTCACAAATCAGCTGGTTACCTTCTGGTATGAGATAATGAGCTAAACACTAGCCTGTAATATTTATGAACTGATTTGGGAAAGGGTGGCCAAGTCAGAGTTCAACGCGGAGAGCATCAGACTATTAGAGCATTACGGAATCTAGGGATTCAAACTGATCGGGTGGAATTCGAATAGAGTATATTCGGATCCAATCTGATACTGTTTATATTGGATTCGATCCAATCCGAAGATTCAGATCTTTACATCTAATCTGATTCAATTTGTTTTTTTTTTAATTAATAACTTATTAAAAAATTAAAATATATTAATTTAAATAAAATAAAACAAAAATATAAATATTTTTTAATTATTTTCATCACACATATACATTTTTTATAAAAAAATAAATAATACAATAAATTTATAAATAAATAATAAATATTATATAACATCAAATCGGATAAGGGATGATCCGAATCCAATCGAAAAATCCAATCAAAGGATGATTTGAATTCGACCAAATCCAATGAGAACTCGAATCGGATCTTCATTTGCACCCCTAACGAAAACTGAAGCCTTACACGTTAATTATGTGGGTGGTGGATGCATATGCTTTTTATTCACCGTTTTGCCATGAAAAATAAAAAAGAAAATAATACTTATAATTTGTCTACATATGATTTTTCTTAGTGGCTTAAGAAAAAAGGGGAAAAACAGAAAAATAAAATATTAAAATCGGATTCAGTCAGTGCAAACAATCATACAATCATCGTAATCTTGCATTGAACATATTTTTCAGGTATGGAGATATTCCCGATGCAAAGCTGTAAAAACTATTAGAAGAGTTTTCGAACCGGTCTTGCACTGAGTGAAGCCGATTTCACAGAAGTTGATAGTTGGATTAACTACAGATACTCATTTGTTCTCTGATAAGTGCCGTACGTGGTCCACGTGGAAGATAAAGGCAATCTGAGACAAGGGTCACGTCCTATTCAATTAGAAGTACTTTCAAAAACACAGAATAGTGACAAAATATTTCTTTTGATTGGAGCTTGAAATGGACATCCAGATCTACGCGCATGTACCGGGTTCGGATCATACAAGGACTTCTCAAACGGGGTTTTCCGAGTTCGATCAAGTTTCAAGTTTATAATTTGAACTCAATTCGAGTTATACTCGACATATTTGGGTACTGAATCGATTTAACTCAACTATAAATAAATCGATATTAAAAATTACAAACAAATTAATACTACAAATGTTATAAACAAAAACATATTAAGAAATTGATTATAAATTTGTTTGTTTATAATATTAATAAATTAATATAAAAATAATATTTATGTATTAAAAATCAATATTGTATTATATATTTGATTAAGCTTACGAGCTGCTTGATCCAGACATTATAAAGCTTGAACCCGACTTGACTCAACTCAAATTTGTCTAGAACTCGATTATCTACCAGCAAAGTTGAGTGTTTAAAGAGGTGAATTGGAGTAGCTTAGAAATAAACTTGACTCGCTTACAGTCTATTGCAATCAATTGGAGAAATCAGATTTGGTCCTCACAATATCATCCTCTCGTCGTCCTTACAGTCTATTGCAATCATGTATGAGAAGATCTCCCTATAACAGAAAAAATATATAAATATGAAATGTTCTCAATGCACAATTGCAAATGGCTATGAAAGAGAGATTAAATCAGCCCCCCACAAGATTGCCTCCCATAATATACCACAACACATCCCTGTCGTATATTGAAAACATCTCTCGATGATGACAACATAATTTTTGATATTATCATCAGTAGATGTTTCCAATACATGGCAGGGATGTGCTGGAAAATTGTAGGGGCTGATTTGAACTCTATGAAAGACAGTATAAGAATGGTTATGTGAGGATCAAATCCGATCTCCCAATTGAAGCAGCGTTGTCACCCCTTGGTGTCAAATATAGAAGGAAAACGAAATTTGTAACTATGATCAGTAATTAAGAATAAGAGAAGTATTAATATACATATCGAGTGTGAAGCCTGTTTGAAATGGTAAGGGTAGTAGTTGTTGTTGAGGTGAAGAATGAAAGTTGTTACTTACTGAGTGACTGTAATAACCCCTTCAATAATATTACATGCATACAGAAGCTGATGAATTAAAATAGTACACTTGCTCTTGAGGCATAGACTTCACCACTCCCTCAATGGCACCTACGTACGTAGCTAATATACGCTGCTGGTTTCTTTTAATAATACTAATTAGGGAAAATTCTTGATCAGTACCCTGTACTTTGGGTCTAATGTCACTTTGGTCTCCAAATTTGAAATTGCAATAATTTAGTATCCGAACTTTTAAAATGTGATGATTCAGTACCTGTCGTTAAGTGTATTTTAAAAAGATATAAATGCCCTTCAAGTGTCATCAGTCCCAAATCCTTTCTTCTTCTATTCAATAAAGTTAGGGTCACATTTAAGTGGGCATTATGGAGACCTCGACT